TTACCCAGGGCACTGATCCGCAGTGGTGGCCATGCCTTATTAGGGCTTCTGGATTTGTACAGGTAAGTTCATGCACACACCAGCAAAAGCATGTTCTGCCTTTGCCTGGATCAAGGGGACTGCAGATTCTGTGGGCACATTGAGCACAGACCTGCCTGTGCAGTGCAGACAGAGCGAGCTGGCTCCTGCCTCGGGCCTCCAGAGGAGGAGGCCTGTACCTTGCATGTTTGCAGTGCCAGCCAGAGCTGGGGGAGCAGAATGTTTGCTGCCCAGATGCATCTGGCACAGGCTGCAGAGTGGGAAAGAGGCCGCAGCATTATAAGGGCATGGTGAAGGAGAGAAGCTAGTTGAACCTAGAATTCCCATGGAGTTTTGCTAAAAAGCATCCTCACCTACTGCAGGCTGGCACTGGGACCTGTGTCTGATGCCATGAGGTGGCACGTGTGACACAGCCTGTGCACAGTCACAAGCTGGCCTGTGTTTGGTGGAGCATGCTTTTCTCTGTTAAGAAACTCATTTTTCATACCTGTTTACAGGAGCTTCGAGGAAAGGGCAGGATTTGTCTTTGCTGAACATGTTCCTTTTGAGCTTTCCCACAGAATCGAGTTCTCTCTTCTTATGCTCCTCTTTCACTATTTTCTTTGAGCAGTAACTATTAACTACCACCACTTAGCTGCCAGCCGCTCTACCTCTGTTGACGATGATGAGGAGGAGGAAGATAAGCTACACGCAATGCTATCAATGATCTGCTCTCGGAACCTCACAGCTCCTAATAGGATGAAAGGTTTTTATCCTCCTCCCTCTGTGTCCCAGAGCTCTATTGCAGCTCGTTCCACTGATGCATACAACAGTGTTGGCATTATTACAAGGAAAAACATTTCACTTACGCCATGAGATCTGGAGGTGAAGCTGGTGGTACAGAGAGGCTGGGAGTGCACTCACAGCCTATGGGAAGTGGAAACAACAGCATCTCCCCTCTCCTTTGAGCGTGTGTGCTGCTGAACAGACAAACCTTCTCTCCTTCACAAAAGCTGGCTACTAGAGCCTCATGTTCTCCCAGGAAGAGGAGGAGAAGAGTACAACAGGTCTTTGTGTTCTCCCTCCATGGGTTAGTTGTGTACAGTGTAACTGGCTGGGGAGAGCTGCCTTGTGTAGGAAGGATCAGAGGTGAGCCATTGCAGCAGCAGTAGTGATGTGCTGGACAAAGTCAGAAAAGGAGTGTGCCGTTTTGTCCTCACAAAATGGAGCTGAAGTGTAGGGAGCTACAGTTTCAGCCCAGTGCTCCCACACTCTGGATACCCCTGTAAGGTAGCAGAAGTGTGCAGGGGTTGGATGGAGATGCAATACCTTTCTGTGGTCATGTGCTTTCATTCAACTTGCATCCCCAGGCTAGATGGGTTTCAGATGATCAGACTCTCCACTCTCCAAAAATCCATCATCTAATTCTTTTCCGAAAGCAATTCATAGCAGATGTATTAAGTTGGTATTCTCAATAAGTGTGTGTACTAGCAGGTAGTCAGGATCTAGTAGTGTAGTTTGGGAGATGGAGAAGTCCTTGTGTTCTCCAGGAGGAAGCGGAATGGTGTGCAGAATAATCCATTCCCCAGGCCAAACCCCTGCTGCACAGCTTGGATCGCAGTTGTGCAGAAGACAGGCGGGTGTTGTTGAAGTCCCTCCACTAGTTCCTGTGAAACCTCTTCCCCCTCCAGGCTTACCAGTTACTGCACAGCTTTAATATCACCAGACTTTTGGCGTTGGTACCTCTCGAGTGCATGTGCCAAACCTGGCATGTTCCTGTTATAATCCAAAGAGCAGCCTCCACCTCTTCCTAATGACAGGAGCATATCACCAAGAACAGAATCTTCCCTGTATTCAGATGGCTGTAAAGTAGCTGTTGAAAGTTTGACATCTGCAGAGAAAGTAGGAAGGAGAGAAACTGCTCCCAAGGTTGGCTCTTGTCTAGATTTTTCATTAGTTGTGCTAGCATGAACATGCTTTTTCTGGTATTTCTATTTCCTCAGGAACCACAACGAATCTTGATTCTAGATGAGATACTCATACCTCTAAATAGGAGAGCAGTGATTTTGGTCCAGATGGATGTTAGCCTGGTCTGGTGGGACTGTAGGAGGCAGTAATTGCCATGCATTTCTGTATACTGCTTAAGTTCTGTTTAGAACATGTGTTCAAGGAGGTACTCCTCATTTCTTGTAGGCTGCCCACATGCTTATCCCAAGGAAGCAGTCCCTAAAAACTGATAAAGCCCAGCCCAGTTAATTAAGAGCCAGATTAAGCCCAGTTAATAAAGAGCTCTTTGAAGATATGGATGGAAAGAAAATCCAAAAAATACAGCATTTCCCTTCTAAAAAGATACTGTTTCAGGAAGTTTGTGTGTCTTAACTGATCGTGTGTGGATATGGGTGATGATGGAAAGGAGGAAGGTCTGACACTGCCACATACACATGTTAAGAGCCTAATGCTGTGATCTGAAGCTAAGAATCACAATTCAGTCTTTAGTCAGGTGATGGAAATTTGAAGTTATCCCACTAGAACAGCTGTCAGATACCTGCTTTTGCCTATTTAACCTTGAAGGTAACAGCAGCGTTAGAGTATGTCTGCTGTTTGAGTAGTGATTCCTGC